AATAGTAACTTTAGATGATGATTTGTGAAGTTCAAAATAGGCGTGCACGGCACAAGATGAAGAGTCATGAAAAAGAATGAGTAGAAATAAATGATGAATAAAAATGCAATAGAGAGAGAGAAGGATGTCAAAATAAGTATGGAAGTTTGATTATCGATGTTCATCACTGCACAAGCATTAAAATCCAAAGTGAACTCATGCAAGAGTAAAATATAGATATAGAAGTGGTCTGCTTTGACACGAAATTTTCTACCAAGCAGAACTAAGGTAGAGTCGAGCAATTTTAAACGAAAAATAGCTGATGTCACTTGTACACGTTATCAATTAATCACTTTTTGAAAATTTTTTTGCTGAATTAGTTGTAACGTGCAAACAAGGGAATGCGTCGATGTAGATGTGTGGGAGTTTAGCATAAAAGTGTGAAGAGCAATGAAAATCGTACTGTAGATGTTAATTAATTAAGACCGATAAGAACCATTATCTTGAACTCACAGATTATGATTAGTCTTTTTGTCTTTTTTGTTTTATACTTTTTGATACAAATAATACTTCATATTAGCAATACTCTGCATGTAACAAGGAAGTATAAATATTACGGTATCACATAGAAGAAGGATGTGAGAATGTTAGAGTACCATAAAATTCAAACGTTCATATCCTCAACGCTAATAGCTTATTGTAACAACCTTAGGCAAAAATTTTCTATAGCTAAATTCTTTTACTTACCTTTTTTTTGTTATGAATAATAATAGAAAATAGTGACCTCTTTTTGTTGCTGATGATAAACATCACTAAGCGACATTCTTTTTGAATGAAGTGTAAATGGCAACTTTTTCTACGTACATATTTTTGAAAAGTACCACGTGTATTTACTAACATAGAATAAAAGATGGCTTTGGAAAAACGAAAAATGCTTGATATATCAATTGCACCTCAAAAATTAAATGAATTTCGTGAATCTCTACAAGGTACATTCGAAAATTGTGATGCTAAAGTATATGCAGAACATATAGCTCAAGATGTAAATTAATTCATATGTTTATAATTCATTCTAATGATTCATTAATTTAGACTGAAGGCATATCATCACGTGTAGTTTCAGGAAAACATTTAGCACGTACATTATCACGTAATGAACCTTTTGTCAAATTACCTTTTCATTTAAGATCGTAATATAATTTCTATATTGAAATGATTCATATAAAATAAACTATAAATATATTCAGGTTAGAACGATGGCAAAATGAACGTTTAACACCGAAGAAACTTGGTGGACGATTCGAACAAGAAACTACACAAATACAATCATCATTAGATGGTAATGTAAGATCACAAACAGTATGGTTAAAATTTGAAGCAGAAAAAAATCCAAAAGATACTGCCTATCAATTAATACGGTTACGAAGAAAACTTGGTCTTACAACACAAATACCTATTCATGGACCAGATGGTAAAAAAGCACTTGAACAATATCTTAAAAATGCTGAAAATGAACAAGTAATTAATTTAAGAAAAATCTATCTACCAAAAAAAAAAAGAATCGTATCTTTTTTATTTCTTTTAAGTCTTCACATGCAGATGCAAATAAAATCTTCTATTATTGTCTATTAACTGGTCGTCATAAACATTATTCACCTTATAATCCATATGAATTAGAAATACAACCTAACGGAATTGAAGCACTTGCATCATCATCTTATTGGACAATGTCGGCATTTAATATCACACATGTAGAATATTATTAGAGTTCTATTTTATTGAATAAAAAAGATTTCTTTTTTTCTCTTATTCATAGGTTAATCAAGTAGATCCAGCTGAAACAGCTATTACACCAGCTTTAATTTGGTTATGGGAACGATATCAATATAATTATTTAATTAATAATTTCTCATGTTTTACAAATTTTCGGTTTGTTTTATTTTATTTTTTAATTATTCTATTGAAAAAAAATTTATATTTAAGAAAATGGCGAACATTTCGTTGTTGGTGGGCTAACGTTCAAGAAGAAAAACATAAACAAACACTGTATACATTCTTATGAAATTTCAATTCATTTCTTACCTCTGTTTTTTTTAATAATTATTTAGTGCTCTTCATTATCGAAAACTTTTTTATGCTAATGAAATCTTGCAAGGTATTATTATACATGTTAAAGCTATGTGTGAAGTATATTATTATGGACAAACGAATTATGTACAACCATTTTGTTTACTTGATCGTCATGCATATCAAGAAACATTAACACTTCAAGAATTTAGTCGACGACAAGTTCTTCAAATGAATACAACAGTTATTAAATTAACAAAATTTCTTGATCAAGTTGCTGTTCTAGCAGCTGATGCTTGCCAAGTAAGACGATCGAAAAAAAAAAGTTTAACAACAATATATTCTATTATATTAAGCAATTAGTTCAAATCCAGATAGTAGTTTAAATAGTAAATGAAGTTTTTGTTTACTAAGATTTCATAGATAAAATATAATGACAAGACTTCTAAAAAATTGGACAAGATAGCTATTCGAAACTTTGATTAAAAATTCAAAGAATTCGTTTATCTCTACTTATAAAAACACATGTATTTTGTATTTCTTGAATTTTGAGTGTAACTTTGAATAGAGCAGAAAAAAACTAATCATGATTGATATAAAAACAATTCACAGAAAATACATTAAAATATCATCTTTAATATAAAGTTGTAGGATTTGATGTAGTGATGGTTGTCGGCTTGTATGCAAGGGAATGGTAATAGTTACAAAACATGTTTTGAAGTCCATTAGACGTTGTATTGGTTCATTTTCGGGCGTTTTCTACTGAGAAAGAAATATTTCGGAAGATCGCTCCGTCCAAATCCGTCATTGAATTTTAGTACCTCACTATCTTCAGTGATATCTTTGATACTTTTAATTTTTTAATGGAAGGTCGTAGAGAATGTGAAGATCCTTCATTTTATTATCTTTAAAATGATACTGTTAGATAATAGCTTCGGCAGAGTCTTCTAAGACTTGAAAACTACATTGTCTGATGTTTTAGAAATCTTGATAAACAAAAATTTCATTGGCAATTAAAATTACTATCTGTGTGTGAGTTAATTGCTTCACATCACAGAAAAAAAACCTTCCTGTTAAACTTTTTTCCATTATTTTATATTATAAAAATAATTTTCTAAAATTGTGATCAAATTTACGTCTGTTTTCAATTAGAAAGCTGTTGAATTAGAAGGTATATCTATAGAAGCATTAGCTGATCCAAGTCTTTATCGTCGACCGAAAGAAGAAGAAGAAGCTGAACAAACAACACAATCTTTTCTTGAATCAAAACAAAATCGAGCATCAATTTTACGCGATGTCAATATAAGAACAAAAACGAAACGACGTAAATGCTTTTTCAAGAAGAAAATTTTTATTTTAAATAAACAAAAAAAATCGATTTAATATTTTTTTTAGATGTTGGTCCAAGTTTTGCAATACGTAAACATTGGCGTGATACATTAACACGTTTAACAGAATTTTTACGTTTACTTGATTATATTATTCTTGAACTTCTTCGTCGTCTTGTTAAATCAGCTGTACGAGATTTACTTATTCATTTACGTGAATCATATTGTGTAGAATTTGAACTTGCTAATCAAGGACAAAATGAAGATGAAGATGATATTAAATTTCAACCAACACGTCAAAAATCAGCTGGATCATCTAGTAGAAGTTTTCGAATTAAACCACCACATCGATCGGAATCACATACAACTTATCAAACAATTCGAACAACTTTGAATTCGGAATTGTAAGAAATATGATTCATAGCAAAATCTTTTATTAATTATTTGTGTTTATCGTGATTTTTTTTTCCAAAAAAAAAGATCAAGTATTAAAGAATCAACAGAACGTCCAAGTAAATTATCAGCACGAACATCTGAAACACGAACACCAACTGTTGAACAAGGAATGGGAAATGATGATTATGAAGATGATGATTTATATTCAACAATTGAACCAGATGATATTCTTGATTTACCACAGGTATGATTTAACAAGAAAAACAAATAATCTATAGCTTGAAAGTTCTCGCACAAAATATTCGTTCATTTTTCAGTTACTTAAAGATATCTGGTTAGAATCCAACTTTTCACTCTTTTTGAAGATGTGTTTAGAATTTCTGTCTAGAATAAGATTGGATAACTATCGCCAGATTATTTCAAAAATGTCTAACATTGTGCTTGTACAGAATACGATTATAGTGAAAATTTGTATTTCGATTGAGAACTATCAAATTTAAAATGCGAAATAGTTTCTAACGGAATTACGAAAGAAATTGAAGTTTCCCAACTGATCAATTGTTTATTAGTTGGAACTATGTGCTTTGTATAGACACTAATGGGTTATGAATATATCGAAAAAAGGTCGAACCCATAGCTTATTCTAATTCCCTCAGAAACATCAGGAAAACTGATTTTCAAATTTCTACTTGAAACTTTGCAAAGAAATAATCCTCAACGATATGAGCAATATAGCAGATGCGCTCTTACTATGGTTGTATCTTGGGATAGGAATAAGGAAAATATTTGAGACTTGCGGAATAAACTGTTCTTATCAATGCTTGTTTGTATGAAAAGCTTTTCTGGTGTTCCTCATTATATTGAAAAATTTCACAGTAAGACATGAGTTCAAACTCTTCTCTGTCTATTGATACCTCATTCCGATCTACATGATGCATATAGCCCTCTAGGAAAAAGTAATCAACCAGTTGGAAAACTTTCTTCGTTATTTTTATAGAGCAAAGTTTGATCTGCAAAGCATGCTAGTTACTGTTGTATTTTTAAATGTAGTTTTTGAAACAGTATTCGAAAATAGCAAAAAACTCTGATTCTATCCAACTGTTTTCCAAGGCTAGAAATGAGTCGCCCGACCCGAACTTTATTTTTTTTTTCAACGAAGATTTCCCATGTAAGAAAGCATAAAAAATATGATTTTAATCGATTTTACACTGGCTTTTATGAAAATTTTGCAATTGATAACAATCAAAAATGTTTATTATGTGAACATTTACAAAGTTTCATTTAGCCAATAAATACAAGTAAAACATTTTTTGTTCCAATGACATTCTCCATACACATGCAAGGCCGAATACACCAACCAAATTGCATTAAGTGACATGAATGTTACTGAAGTGCAACTAAAAATAGAAATCGATTTGACTCTTTGAAATTGATCAGCGGGCATAATACTCATGAGAGCTTACGTTAAGAAATGATAGTCTTCAAGTAATTAAAGTATCTACGAAGGCATCTTGCTCTTTTAATTATTACAGAGTTTCATCGTGTAGAAATTCGTTCTGTAAAAGATGTAAAGTTTTCATAGTGCCATTTTCAGTTGAACCGTGTCAGACTGAGCCACAAAAAGGTGACCAGATGTGAAAATCTGTTGTCTTGTAGAGGTTCGAAAAATGAGCGAATATGTTGTGCCAAGATTTGTACGCTATAGATTAATCTTTTATATAATTCATAGATTGAAACGACTGGTCGAATACCTCGACCTATGTTTGAAGTTAATTTATTACTTAAAATAACTCAATTACCAAAAAAAAAAACACCAGCTAATGATGATATGATAAAATCTGAAAGGTTTGTTATTTTATTATGAAATTTGAAATCTATAAATGATTGATTTATTGTATTAGTTCATTTGAGAATACAACTAAAGTAACTTATGAAATAAGTCCAAGTGAATATGATTTTAAAAATGCTACACGTGATATTATTAATGGATTAGAATCATCTGTTGGTAAAGATTCGATGACAAAAAAAATTTTGTTTTAGAAAAAAAAAAAATTTCTTTTTTTTTTGTTTATATTTAAGGTCAAATATCTAGTCTTTGTGATCATCCAACATTAAGATTATTTTCTAGCTATCCAAATTATGATTCATTAAATCCACAAGCTCGAACACCTATTCATGTATCAAAAATTCCTTGGCCCGATGTTGATTTTCTTTTTGGTGATGATGTTGATCATCAAGAAATTATTGTTGATACATTAAATACAGTTAATCGAGCTTTATCTAATGTTCAAGTATTTGTTAAAGTACGAAGAAAAATTTGTTTTATTTATTTATTTTTTTTTTTGATTATTTATTTATGTCTTTTTTTTTCTTATAGCGATATCAAAAATATTGTGATATGGTTCTTAGTTGTATACAATTAAATATTGATGAAAGTCTTAAACGAAAAGATTTAACAACAGATGATCTTCAATTTTTAATGGCTAAACATACACAACAATTAGGTAAAATGGAACACATGATTGTTCAACAACGTATTGGACTTATTTTAATAAAAGCACAACAATTTTATGATTCAGCAGTACCTTATCCTCAACATGTTGTTGAAACTATTGGAACATATTTACCACCTGTTGCTATTGATAAAAATGAACGAATGCAAAAAACAATTCGAGTTAATTGAAACAAAAAAAAAAACAATGATTTTTTTTTCTTTATTAAAAAATTTTGATTTTTTTTTATTTGTTTAGGAAGTATTGAAATTATTAGATCGTGATCCAAGATCTGTTGAAGAATTTGTTCAACATATAGCAACATTAAATAAAGTTAATAGTGATTTAGGAAATTTAGAAATTGAATTTGAAACAATATCAAAAATGTTTCATATTATTAAAGATTTTTCAATGAAAATTGCACCAGAAGCATATGCTTTATATCGTTCTTTAGCACCGATTTATCATCAATTAAAAGTAAGAATAATTTAATATTTGTTGTTTATTTATTAATTTTTTTTTTTTGAAATTTTAGTCAAGTTTACTTTATACAGAAGCTCAATGTGATGAAAATGTACAAAAATTTACTGTTGAACTCGATGATATGATACAACGTTTATATGATCAAACAATTGATCTTAGAGTTAAATCAAAAGATCCAGCTCTATTAACAAGTGAAACTCGAACTGAAACAGCATTAGATATTATTGCAATTTTACAAGAAACATTATCTAAAGTAAATGAAAAAGCAAAAAATTATTCAAATTTTCAAGAACGTTTTAATCAAATAAGTAAACAATCAACAAAAAAACGTATTCTAGGGTAAAGTCTTATGATCATATAAATAAAATTTAATGACATAATTTTTATTTTCTTATTTAGTGATTATCAAATCAAAAGTAAATATCATCGATATGATACTACAGTTAGTCTTCAAACAGTTCAAAGTGAAATAAATGATATTGAACAAGATATTAATTTACGTAAACTCTTATGGGAATCTCAACAAAAATGGACGAAACTTTATCGTGAATGGACAAATACTGTTCTTGATGCTATTGATATTGATCTTTTACAAAAAGATGTTAATAAATTTACACAAAATATATATATGCTTGAAAAAGCATTACCATCTAATAATATAATTCCATCATTAAAAGAACGTATTGTTGAATTTAAAGCAGCTATGCCTGTTATATTAGCATTACGTAATCCACATATGAAACAAAGACATTTTGATCGTTTACGTGTATTAATTGGAAAAGATGTTATTGATGATGAAAATTTAAAATTAAATAAATTACTTAAACCTGAAATATTACAATTAACAGATAAAATCACTGATGTATCATCATTAGCATCAAATGAAGCATCATTAGAAACAATGTTAAATAAAATTATTGAAAGGTAAATTTATCAAAACAAGAAAAAAAAAACTAGCATTGTTATGTAACTTTGTTCATCTTCTTGTATTTTTATAGATGGAGATCATTAGATTTTCGTTTATTACCTCATGCAGGTAAAGATACATTTATTATAACTGGTTTTGAAGAAATTTTACAACAATTAGAAGAAAGTCAAGTAGGATTATTTCTTTTTTTTTTCTGAATATTATTTTAATTCATGTTTTGATTTATTAAAAGATAACAATGTCAACAATAAAATCTTCAAGATATATAAATCCAATTCGACAATTAGTTGATGAATGGGATAAACGTTTAATTTTATTATCAAAAACAATTGATGAATGGATAACATGTCAAAGACGTTGGCTTTATTTAGAACAAATATTTTCTACACCGGATATTCAATTAACACAAGAAACAAAAATTTTTGCACAAATTGATAAAACATGGAAAGAGTTAATGCGTAAAACTGAACAACAACCAAATGCATTGAAAGCAGCTACACAACCAGGAACATTGGAATTATTACAAACGAATAATGCACAAATGGAAAAAATTCAACGAGCATTAGAGGCAAGTTTAGAATGTAACTTTTTTCTTGTTTGATTCCATCAAACTAGTAGATAGGGCGAAGAGTGATTTTTCTTAGTTGGTAGAATTTTTGATTGAATTTTGAATCTTAATTCATATTGTTGAGGATACGATAGGACATTACTCTAGAAATATAAGTCGCTTGTTTGAATTATCATTTCTACTAGAGATGTATATCGTATCTAAAAAAATGAGGCAAAGATGGTTACTGCTTAAAGTCTTCTCAACAGGTAGCATGATCGCACTTGATGGCAATCAAAAAATTGTTTGTTATTTTTTTTTTAGTGTTTCATTTCTAAACACTGATCTAAGAATAAGCATACCAAGTTGAAAATAGCACGAAAGAATATTTTATTACAATTAGAATCATTGTTAAATAACATTTATTATAAATTTGTAAATTTAATGAATGAATATAAAATAGTATAATAAAACAAACCATATCCTAGAAAGAGCAACTTCATCAAAAATTAAATTCCTTCTCTTAACTTTTCAGCTTTTTATGTGTATTCTTTTTTAAATATTTCTAATAAAAAATTTAACAGCTGGTATGATGAATGCGCGGATGGTAATTCTCTCTTGACTTTATTTATTTGAGTAGTAGATATGAAGAGAATGAAATTTTAATAGAATTTATTTATCATAAATTTTATTGTTTATTCTTTAGGATTATTTGGAAACAAAACGATTAGCATTTCCTCGTCTATTTTTTCTTAGTAATGAAGATTTATTAGATATTCTCTCACATTCAAAAGATGCAAACTGTGTACAAGTATGTTCATTGATGTATTATAATCTATGAAAAATAAAAAAAAATTTTTAACTACTATTCTAGCCACATTTACGTAAATGTTTTGCCAATATTTTTCATCTTCATATTGTTAAATCACCCATGGAAGTTGTAACAAGTATGCAATCAGTAGAAGGTAATAAAAAACATTCCTTGAATCAAAAATATAAGATCAACATGTTTCCTACGATGCCAAGTATTTTACTCAGATCCAAGTAATCATTTGAATAACTAATGAAGTTATCTATGAAATGCATTTCATACAGAAACTTCATGAATGAACTATGAGAGAAAGACTTGTGAAAAACAAAACAAGTTAGTTTTTACATCTGAGAAGATTGTGTGACAATTAATTTTTAAGAGTACACAATCCTGAATAAAATGAAAGGAAGATCATAGAAAACGTAGTAACTTTTCATTATACTGAAAACTCATTTTCACAGTCTACTGTATTTGATTGTTCAAAAGTCTTCCTCTCAGAGTCCATCTATAAAATTTCGACATGGAATGTGATTGATAGAGAACTTCATTGGCTATTCAAACTATTATTTGAATTTGATTTAAATACTTGGTATCATAGAAAACACATTGGCCATAAATTTAATTTCATAGGTGAAATTGTCAATTTTCCAAAAACGGTTCGTCCAAGAGGTATGGTTGAACAATGGTTAACTTCAGTTGAACAAGCTATGTATGATGCTGTTAAACATCATCTTAAAGTTAGTTTAACACTTAATATACTTATTTTTTAAATCATTTAATTGTTTTTATTTTCACTTTATAGTTAGGCTTATCTGATATAAAAAATACAGATTATATCGATTGGATTCTTCAACATCCAGGTCAAGTTGTATTAACTATTTCTCAAGTAAGATATACACGACAAGTCAATGAAAAATTTGATTCACAATCAACAGAAACTGATGGTGCACTTATACAAATACGTGATCAAATGGTAACAACAATTAAAAATGTATGTTCATTAGTATTTTCTAATATTGAACAATCAAAATTATTGACTGTCGAAGCATTATTAACATTACAAGTTCATTGGCGTGATATATTTGAAATGCTTATAAAACTTCATGTAAGATAAAATATATATATTTCAATGATAAAATTTGATTTTTTTTTTTATAAATAGATTCGAGATAAAAATGATTTTGAATGGCAAAAACATCTTCGATATGATTGGAGTGATAAAGAAACAAATTTTCAAATACTTCAAGGTGATGCAAATTTTCTTTATGGTTATGAATATCTTGGATGTTCAAGTCGATTAGTTGTTACACCACTTACCGATAGGTTTGCATATTTATTTTATGTTCAGTTATTTGAATTGATAATTCTTTTTGTTTTTTTTTTAAAGATGTTATTTAACATTAACTGGTGCAATTAAACTTAATCTTGGTGGTGCACCATCAGGTCGAAAAAACAAAAAAAATTATATTCTATATTGATAATAAATTAAGTTATTTTTATATAGGTCCGGCTGGAACAGGAAAAACAGAAACAGTTAAAGATTTATCAAAATCATTTGGAAAACTTTGTTTAGTATTCAATTGTTCTGATGAACTTGATCATAAGGTAAAATAATTTTTTGTTTTGTTGTTTTGGATAATGCGTAAGACAAAATGGTCATGTATAGACACTTGGGAAAATGTTTAGTGGATTGGCGCAGTCAGGTTTGTTTATTTGTTTTTTTTTATTAAATATTTATCTTTTTTCTGTTTTTTTTTATTTAGGATCATGGTGTTGTTTTGATGAGTGAGTTATTGATTGGGATGTTCTATATATTATAGTTTTTCTATTAAGATTTAATCGTATTGATGTTGAAGTATTATCTGTTGTTGCTCAACAATTATTAACAATTAAAACAGCGAAAGATGCACATGCTCAACGGTTTGTTTAAAATCTTAAAATAAAATAAGAAAAGAAATTTTATTTTATAATATTCAATTTATTTAGATTTACATTTGATGGTCGTGAAATTAAGATGAATTTAACTTGTGGTTTTTTTGTTACAATGTAAAATATTATAAAAAATGAATTTTTTTGTTTTTTTCATATAATTTTATTTTTTAGGAATCCAACTTATTCTGGTCGTTTTGAATTACCTGATAATTTAAAACCTATGTTTCGACCTATTGCTATGATGATACCACATTATGCATTAATTGGTGAAGGTAATTTGAACAAAAAAAAAGAAACAAAACAATAATAATTTCGTATTATTTGTTTTCTTTAGTCATTCTTTTTTCTGTTGGTTTTATATCAGCAAAAGTTCTTGCAACAAAAATTGTTTATTTATATAATTTATCAAATAGTCAATTATCTCAACAAGATCATTATGATTTTGGTATGCGAGCTATTAAAGCTGTTCTTTTAATGGCTGGTGAAATAAAACGATCACATATTAAAGATTCAAATTTAACTGATGAACAATCAGAAGTATATCATCTATACTCATTTTGTTTTTTTTAATAAGAATAATAAAATTCTATGTTAATAATCATATCTAGGAAGGTATAATGTTACAAGCATTAGTTGAATCAAATCTTCCGAAATTACTTAAAGATGATTCAATTCTTTTTCTTGGTATTCTTCGTGATCTTTTTCCTCAAGTTGATAAAAATTTACATGAACATGGAAATATTCAACAAGCTATAAAACGTGCTATTAAAGATTTAAATTATGAATATTGGCCTGCACAAGCTGATAAAGCCTTACAACTTTATAATCAAATTGTTCTTCGACATGGTACAATGTTAGTTGGTGGAGCTAGTGGAGGCAAAACTGTTGTACGAAATATTCTTCAAAAAGCATTAACACTTTTATCTAATGTAGCAAAAGAAGGATCACAAGTATGTATGAAGAAAAAATAATAATAATAATAAAATTGAATTATTCAAAATTTTTCTTTACTTATAATATAGACTCGAATACATCGATCAGCTACTGTTGATGTAACAGTTTTAAATCCAAAATCAATGCAAATAACTGAACTTTATGGAGCTATTAATACTGATACATTAGAGTTTTCTGATGGAATGGTAAGAAAATATTGACAAGTCAATATTTACCTGATTCATATTCATAAAATGACTTAGTTCTCTAAATAATTGGTGCATTCTATAATGCTTAGCGGCACTTATTTTCATTAAAAAGTGCTTATCAGTAGCACGCATTCAGACCAAACTACAGTTCTAGGGTTCGGTTCAGCCAGATGGGAGATAGTGCTAAGCAGCAGGATTTTAGATCACACTATAGTTCTAGAGCTTTGGACAACAAATTGCATTTCGATAGATAGTACTGTGTATCAGCAGAAGAAAAGAAATACTTCAGTTGTTCAATAGGTAGTAGCAATTTTGCCGATTGGTGAAAGTAGATTGGACTTTCGGATGCTGCTATGAAATAATATTAATATAGAATGCATGTGATGGCTGAAGATGATATTGTTAGAACATATACATCATAGGTTACACTCACACTCGCCATCATTCAACGGAAACTGTCACAAGCGTTCATCGAACAGTCATTATTCGAAACGACATAGACGAATATAAACTATCAATATAGTTGATGGGGATATTTTAAATCCATATCAAATTCACGATCATATTTGCGACTTTCCGGAACCTCTATTTAATCAGTGTCTATATTTCTGAACAATCTATTTAAAGATCCACAATATCAAGAGTGATTTAGTATGATTATATACTGCGTTTTCTTTCTGAGCACTATATTTTATTCAAAAGGCATGTTGATACGCACTCTGGAATGTACACCAGTGTCTTATAGAATGTCGAAATATTAGGGGACTTAACGAGAGGAGTTTAACCCTGGACTGAAATTCATGTAATTCAAAGTATTTATTTGATGAATTGAATTGATAATTTTAATTTTTTATTTTGTTTAGCTTGCTAGTGTTATGCGATCATATTCAAAAATTCATGAATCTCAAATGAGTACAGAGAAGGTATAATCATAAATGAATTAATTATGTAAGTTTCTTTTCACTATTTATAGAGTGAACATCATGTTGATCATTGGCAATGGTTAATTCTTGATGGACCAATAGATACTTTATGGGTTGAAAATTTAAATACAGTAAGTTGAAAAAATATCAAAAACTAAACACAAGATTATATTATAATCTATAGCTTCTTGATGATTCAAAAATACTTTGCTTGGCTAATGGTGAACGTATTGGAATGTCTGGACATACACGAATTATATTTGAAGTTGACTCTTTAGTAAATGCATCACCAGCTACTGTTAGTCGTTGTGCGATGGTTTATTTAGATCCAGTAGATCTTGGATATAAGCCTTTTTTAAATCATTGGTATAGATGTAAATTACCTAGTACATTACCACAGAGTGCAATTGAATTTCTTCGAGAATTAATGGATTTTTCATTAGATAAAGGTTTTCATAATAATTATCATTTTGATGAATACTAAGTTTGTTTTTTTTTCTATAGGATTTACTTTTCTTAATGAATTGAAAGATCCTTGGCATATGCCAGCATCAAAAGTAAATGTTTTACAAACACTTTGTTATTTATTATCAACATTTTTGAATTACTTGGATAAACATGGAGGTTTTGGTGAAGATGATCAACGATTACCGGCAGCAGCAGCTCCAAGTATGATCTTTTCTTTCATGTCAAACAAATAGAAAAGATTAACTATTAGGTTTTTTTTTTGATCAATAAAAGATCTTAAACATATATTTCATTTTGTAAATATTCTTATGAGTTTAATTTCATATTCAAATTGGAGTTTTTTTTTAAAAATCTTTTCTAAACAAAAACATAAAATTTTGATAATAAACTCAAGTACACCATCGAGAAAATAGAAGTTATTATCATAAAATTGCTTATTTTAGACAATCCAGCAACAACATCTAGCTCGAAATATTTTACACCAAAGTATAATATTGAAATAAAGATAGAAGAGATATGAATTCAGCTTTCTTTTTTCTAGTGATGAATTAGTTGTTTATATAATCAATGACAAGAAACAATATTATTTACAAAAAAATCCGAAAAATCTTCGACAATGTCTTATACGTATTTATATATTTTGTTATGTTTGGAGTTTTGGTGGTGGATTAAAAGTAAGATTGAATTTTTATTTTTACCAATATTATGAATAATCCTTGTTTTTTTTTGTTTTATAGCGAGAAGATAATTTTGAAGATGATAATTTAATAAATCAAAAAGAACAAGTTAAAGTTGATCGTGATCCAACTACACAGGAATTTGATACATTTGTTCGGTAAGTTTAAAAATTCATTTTATTTAATGTTCTTCATCTAAATAATTATGTTATTCAGTGAATTATTTTCTTCGAATGTTAATTATGCAGTTTATTTACCACCTGATGCACGTATGATATTTGATTATATGATAGATTTAAATACATTTGTTTATCATGAATGGGAATCACTTGTACCTAAAACAGAACAATTAATTAAAAATGAAGTTTCACAAACCGTTATACCAACTGTTGATGTTATTCGTTATTCATTTTTAATAACAGCTTTACTTATGCATAAAAAACCCGTTCTGTTAACTGGTATAGTTTTGTTTATTTAAATTTGCATAGTTTTTCTTAATTGTAATATTTTATTCTATGTAAAGGTAATAGTGGTGTAGGTAAAACTTTACTTATTGAATCAATGCTTCGATTATTAATGTTACCAGATGGAAATTTTGTTCGACCAGGTACTATTCTAGGTGATGTTTTACAATATAATGCTACGAAAAGTTCAACAACAACTAAATTAACACAAACAGTAGAATTACCTACCGAAAATATTGAAGGTGGTGGTGGTAAGTATAATAAGAAAAAGTTTTTCTTTTTTGAAGAATTTAATTAATATAAATAAAATATTGCAACTATTAGGAAATATTTTGCTTCGTTCGAGGCAAAAAAGTAAGTAATTCGTTGTGAATAAAGTCCTTTTATGCGTATACAATTTCAATATATGATACGAATTAAAGGATAATTCATTAAATAAAAAATTTTTGAATTTGTATTAATTATAATGTCTCTTTTTAGTATTTGTAAATTATACAAATATCAACAAGAGAAAGAAAATTGAAATTTATTTGTTCATCTATGTTGTATAGAAGAGTATTATTATTTTAATGTAGCCTAAAGGATATTCTAATGTTCAGAGAAATGTATATTAATACTGAGATTCTGAGAGTTTATATATTTTTTAAAATAAATCTACAGAAGAAAAAAAAAGAGACTAAGCATCGGTAGAACCAACGAGAAAAGAAATAGATTAAACAAACCAATTAGTTCGGAGTTTTCATTAGAATATATGAAAAGTTTTCTTTTAAAGGTTAGTCATCGTAGTTTTTTGCTCTTGTAGTAAAAAGTCTATGTTTAGTATGTCAATGAATGTTATTCATTAAATTACAAGTATATATTATGTAGGAAAGTGGTGATCTTTGAGATGTTTCTATACAATGAAAAAAAAAAACTTTGATTCGGAATGCAAAACGAAATAAGACAATTGATTTTCCTGATAATTGATTATCTTTAGAAAAGAAAAAACTTGGTCTTCTGAAGATTTTTCACTTAGCATATTAGTATAATTAGGCTACATAATACATGTGAGTTCCAAATTTTAGCAGTAAAGAGGTTGCAATAATAACATGCTTTTTAAAAAGTATTTACAATCATATTTAATTTTTTGCTATATGTTTATCATCAATATTATCATATTATTTTATAAACAATCCTTTTTTTTTCTTTCTTCTGAATCAACTAGCTTTACAATCACTTAAAATACAAATGAGTGCTCAAACAACACCAAATAAATTCGTTAATCAATTAACAGGAAGTTTAATTAAAAAAAATGCAAACTTACTTGGTTGTCCACAAGGCAAATGGTTAATAGTCTTTATTGATGATTTAAATATTCCACAAGTTGATTCATTTGGTGATCAACCAACACTTGAAACATTACGATATATTTTACAGACAGGTTTATTTATTTCTAAAATAAAAGATTTTTTTTTTTTTTTTACAAATCCTTATTTTGTTTCTTAGGATCGGCTATTGATGCAAAAAAAAATCAAATACGTCCATTATCGGATATAACATTTATAACAGCTTGTGATTCACCATCATCAGGTCGTTGTATACCATCAAAACGTTTACTTCAATCATTTTCAATATTTGCTTTACCTGATCCAGCAGCTAAACAATTATTTCATATATATTGTGTTCGTCTCGGACGATTTTTAAATAGTCTAGATTTTCCAGTTGATGTACGTTTATCACTTTATCTTCTTGTATCAGCTTGTCTTGTTATGTATTATCGTGTTTCAATTAATATACTTCCAACACCATCAAAAGTACATTATATATTTAATTTAAGAGATTTAGCTAAACTTGCACAAGGTATAATGCAAGCATCACCTAAGAATACAACCAATCAAGATTCTTTAGCTATACTATTTGCTCATGAATGTTTACGTGTATTTGCTGATCGTTTAGTAACAGAAAATGATTTAAATATTTTTTATAAACATTTAAATGGAACAATGTTAAGTTATTTTAAAATATCATTAGATATATCAAAATATGTTGAAAATCCATTATTATATTGTAATTTTTTAAAATCTGATGATCGTTTATATCAACAATTACATGATTGGCGTCAATGTTGTCCAATTTTTTTGGATTATCAAATGAGACATAATTTAAGTGAACATTCAACACTTAATATGGTATTTTTTAAAGAAGCTGTTGAACATGTTTTAAGAATATGTCGAGTTTTACAACAACCAGGTGGACATCTTTTATTAATTGGTCTTGATGGTACTGGAAGAAAAACATGTTTACAATTATCAGCTTTTATATCTGGTCATTTAATGTTTCAATTAAATATTAAACGTGGATATGCATATCAAGATTTTAGAGATGATTTGAAAATTGTAAGAAAACAAATTTTATAATATGTAAATCGAGCATGTTATGTTAAAATTGTTTGAAACAATTAAAAACCGACTTTACTAAAGAATTGTAAACTTTCGGGAGTCATGAAAATTGACGGGTTGCCCAAAAATACCAAGACAATTTTTTTTTCTTGAAGAACGGCAACATATATAAAGGCTCGTTTCTAAGCTTATTCGATAGAGAATTTTTCGTTCGTCAAAGATGTTTAATTTGTTCAAATTAGTTTTCCTTTTCCACAAAAAATCAAAAAGATAAACTACTGCTCGATTGTTTTCCTGCGATTTCTTATTTTCTATAGCAATATATCGATCATGTGTGAGCCAGTGCTTATCAAGTGACACGTTAGAAATAAAGTGTATAGTATCACTAGATCGAGAATTTCGTGTTATATCATTTCATGACTTTTTCGAGACTCCTGGTGTTGCTGTTTAGGATGAAAAGGCTCAAAATTTATTCTTGCAGTTATTTTTTGGAAAGTCATGCCTTCCAAAGGCTTATTATAATACAATCATAAGTCTTTTTCGATGTTTTGTCTAACAAATTCTCTTCATTTCAGCGGAACTGTCACTTTCTATCAAGTTTTTCGTTTTTAACTGTCGTATGAATATGATCTGTGAACTTTCCTGTATTAGTAGTTAAAAGATCAGAGTACGGTGGCCAAATTATAGCAGTAATATTTTATTTTTTTCATATGTCCAGTGACTCCCTGGACATAGTTCGATATGCAATTGAGATCCAAAAGAAAGAATGGAAATTCCATTTTTTTTTCCATTGTAGCCATCAAAAGTTTTCCAATCAGGTAAACGACACCTAAGTTTGAATCCTTTTGCTTAATATTTTATAATAAATAGAGCTCGGTAAACTTTGATCGCAGGCATCAACCTAAGATCAATTTCAAAGAATACTTAAGAATTCTATCAACTCTTATGTTGAGAATACTCGAGAATAAATTGATTAATAAGACAAACTACAATTGTTTGACATGAAAATTCGTATCGATAGTAGAAGTAGCACTAGAAATCCCATCAAGGGTTCATCATTCTCGATTATTTAAGTACTTTTTTACCAGGTAGTAAGACTTTTGACGACTACTGCATACCGTTCTTAGTTCATATTTGTACCACAATAATTATGGATTAAAGAAAATCTTGTCTTATGCTTTCAAGTAACAAACGAATGAGAGAAACTTCCTAAATTATTATTAAGTAATAATTTCCAAGATTTTTATATAACAATTCAGTTAGCTTCAAATATGGATTTCATACATTTATTTAAGGTATTCAAACTTGTTACACTACAAAATCGACTAGTAGCTTTATTCATTCAAGAAAAAGATTTATTATTCGTAAGTATTTATTTATTTACTATTATTTATATTGTTTTTTTTCATCACTGTTCAAATTATTTCAGTCTAATAGAGGTAATAAAAAGCTATATATCTATCTATATATATATATATACATTTTTCTATTGCTGATTTGTTTCATCTTCTTTGTTTTTATTTGTTTGAATTTTCTATTTATATTATTCTTTAATATAGGATAGTTTTATCGAAGATATTGAAAGTATTCTTAATTCTGGTACTGTTGTTGATTTATTTGAACCCGATGAATTTGATGCACTTACAATGGATCTTAAAAATGATGCATATTCAGCTGGTATGAGTGATACAACAGGTCAACTTCGTGAATTTTTTTATCAAGTAAAACTAAAGAATTTAAAAAGATTTAGAAAAAAAAAAAAAAAAGAAAAATGTTTTTCTTTATTTTTCTAGCGTGTTCGAACTAATCTTCATATAATTCTTTCATTTTCTCCAGCTGGTAGTAAATTTCGTGAAATATGTCGTTTACATCCTGCTTTACTCAATTGTACAAGTATTGATTGGTTTACTGAATGGAGTGAAATATCAATGAGTCAAGTAGCTGATGTTTTTCTTGAAACAATTGATTTTAAGTAAATAAAAACAAAAAGAATAATAATAATAATTCGTCAAATTGTTTTTTATTTTTTTTATTTTAGAATTTTATCAACTGATAATGAAACAAGCAATGAAATTGATTTTCGTCATCGTTTAGCACTTTGTTGTGTTTCTATACATAAAATTGTTATTGAAACAGCAAAACGTTTTTATGCTGCACATAAAAGAATTTATTATTTAACACCATCATCTTATATGGATTTAATGAAAACTTATGGTATAATGATGACACAAACAAAACAAGAATTTCTTGTAAAATTTTCAAATAATTTCATTTTGATTATTTAATTTTTTTTTTATTATTTAGACAAGTTACAATCGATTATCATCAGGTCTTGCAAAATTATCTGATGCAAATGCTAGTGTCAGTATTATGCGTGATGAACTTGCTGTACTTGGACCACAAATTGATGCTAAAGAAAAAGTATGAGAAATAAAAATAAATTAATAATCATGACTAATTTTTTTTTCTTCAATAAAGGAAATCGAACAATTATTAAATCAATTACAAAAAGATCAAATAGCTGTACTTGAAGTAAAAGAAATTGTTGAAGTCGAAGAACAAAAAGTTCGTCAAGATACAGATATGGTTGAACGATATGCTACACAAGCTGAACTTGATCTTAAAAATGTAATACCTGTATTAGATGAAGCTATGGCTGATGTATCACAACTTGATAAAGCTGATGTAGCTGAAGTTCGAGTTTATCAAAGTCCACCATATCAAGTTATGATGGTTATGTGTGCTGTTTGTGTTCTTCTAGAATGTAAACCTGATTGGGCAACAGCTCGACAAGTACTTGGAGATTCAGGTTTTATTAGTCGTTTAACTAATCTTGATATAAATCATGTTTCGGATCGAACATATCGAAAATTATTACAATATTCTCGTCATTCACAATTTACACCTGATATTATTGGAAAAGTTTCATCAGCATGTCGATCATTTTGTAAATGGGTACTTGCTATTCAACGTTATTATGAAGTTTATCGAACAGTTAAACCAAAAGAAGAAAAATTAAAAACAGCTAATGAAGCATTAGATGTTATGCGTAAAAGTTTAAGTCGAAAACAAGAAATGCTTAAACTTGTATGTAAAATAAATTTTTATATAAAAGCAAATAAAAAAATAAAAACAAAATAAATTTTTTTTTTTACATTTAAAAAAAAACAGGTAAAAGATCATTTACAAGAATTAGAAGATAAATATCGAAATAGTATTGAAGAAAAACAAGCATTATATGCACGACGTGAATTAATGAAACAACGTATGGCACGTGCACATGAATTAACAAATGTTTTAGCTATTGAAAAAGTTCGTTGGCAAGAACAATTAACACAACTTGAAGAACATGTACGTTCATTAATTGGTAATGCATTATTATCAGCTGCTGCAATTAATTATTTTGGACCATTTAATAATGAATTTCGACATGAACTTATGAGAGATTTTCAACAAATTCTTAGTAATAATAAAATAATTTTTTCAATAGATTTTAAATTATCATCAATTTTATCAACACCAAGTGAAATACGAAATTGGATTAGTCAACAATTACCTGATGATGAATGTTCAATGTAAGTTGATTAAAAAGACATGCTTTTTAAACCATAAGTTTATTTGAAATAAGTTTATTATTTTTTTTTGCCAATTGAACCGTGACTAGGGTTGATTAGGGAAAATTATTTTTGAGCTCGAACCGACACTGTACTTTTAATACTCTCAATGAAATTCTTGATTTTTCATTCGGTTATGAACAGAGAATATGTACAGCATTCATGAAAGAAACTTGAATGTACATCTAGCTAAGATGTGCAATTTTGTTTTACTAACCACTAGTTGTAGTTAGTATACCCTGTCGTCCTTATTGATTGAAGAATTGAAATACGCCACTACCAAAAAGAAGGCATATTTTGAAAGAGTTGATATCTCAATATTTAAACGAACATGAATATTAGCTTAGTCAACTGAACTGATTCGAATTCTAATAAATACCGTTGTGCATTGTTTTTCTTCTCTAGTGAAAATGCTGTTCTTGTTAAACATTGTACTAAATGGCCATTATTAATTGATCCACAACGGCAAGCTGTTCAATGGTAATTATCTTAAAGAAAAAAAAAAAAAATTTTTTTTTTCATAAAATTTTCATATCATCTTTTGTGTCTAAAAGGATTCGAACAAAAGAAGCTGAAAATAATTTACGTGTAGTAACAGCTGATGATTCAACATTATTACGTATATGTGAACAATGTATTCGACTTGGTTTACCATTAATTATTGAAAATGTTGGTGAAACAATTGAATCATCATTATTACCATTACTTGATCGTGATATGTTTAAACGAACAAGTTCATCTATTGGAACAATTCGTTTTAATGATGTTGATATTGAATATAATCCAAATTTTCGTGTTTATTTTATAACACAATTAAATAATCCACATTTTTTACCAGATATTTGTATTCGTGTTACATTAAGTAAGAACAAAATAACAAAAAAAAATATTCAATTTTTGTTATTTTTTTTTTCTTCTTCTAGTTAATTTTACTATAACACAAAATGGTTTAGAACATCAATTATTAAGTCTTGTTGTTTTAAATGAAGAACCACATTTAGAATATGAACGTAAAGTTTTATTAGAAACTATGGCACAAGATTTAAAAAGTTTACGTGATTATGAAGATCGTACATTAGAAATGTTAACAGCATCTGAACAACATATACTTGATCGTCATGATCTTATTGATAATTTAACACGATCAAAAATAACAAGTGATGAAATATCAAATCGTTATCATGAAAATGAATCAAATGAACGACAAATAAATTTAGCTCGACAATGTTATGTATCATTAGCTAAACGTGGTTCATTACTTTATTTTCTTATTAATCATTTATCACGTTTAAATATAATGTATCAATTTTCATTAACATGGTTTCAACGTACATTTCATTCATGTATATTAGATCATGATGCAACACGTCGTATGAGTATGACAAATTTATCAAATGATTTAGATCCATTACAACGTTATACAAGACAACGACGAGCTAGTTCATTATTAAGTAGTTTAATTAGTTCACCACGACAAAGTATAAATGAAGAATTAACACGTGAACAAATATCAACAAATCCAACACGAACAAGACGTAATACAAAATCATTTGTATCAACAATAACTCAACAACAACGTGCAACAACATTACGTCTTATGGTTGATCGTTTAACATATACAATATATCAACTTGTTTCATGGAGTCTTTTTGCTGAACATCAATTATTATTTTCATTTTTATTAACAACAACAATTGAACGAGAAATTGATAATAATGAACATAATAGACATATGACGACTACATCTGATACTATCAAAGAAGAAGAAGGAGGAGATGAACAACAACAACAACAACAACAAACAAATGAAGTTGAAACAAATCTATCATATATTACACATGATGAATGGACATGTTTTATGAGTCCACTTTTAAGTACAATAAATGAAGAGAAATTATCATTTGTTAATGAATTATTACCATCATTATATTCTATATGTCAAAATTTATTATATGATTCTAATCAAGAATTTTTTAAACATTCAAATCCTTATTTATATTTAATTCGACATGAAAATTATTGTCGTTTATCACGTTTTCGATGTATATTAATTATAAAAATTCTTCGACCAGAACTTTTACTTCCATCAATATCACAATATGTAGCTGAACAAATGGGTAGTAAATTTTTATCATCAGGTTTTGCTGATATACAAGATATTTATACACATTCATCACCACAAGCACCTATTATTTTATTACTTTCATCTGGTATATATTTGTTTTAAACAACAAGAATAAAAAACATCGATTTTTTTTTTTTATTATTTTTGATTAGGAACTGATCCAACTAATCTTCTTCTTCGTTTTGCTAAAGAAACACGTGGAAGTGCATCACATCTTGATGTTATTTCATTAGGTCAAGGTCAAGGACCTAAAGTTGAAGAAGTTCTATCAAAAGCATTAACATTAAAAGGTCGTTGGATATTTTTACATAATTGTCATTTAAGTGCATCATTTATGCCAAGACTTCGAGTACTTGTTAATAAGTATGATTGATTTTAACTTTTAAAGATATTTATTTATTTTTTTTTGTGTGTGTGATTATAGTTTTAGTAAACCTGGTCTTGAACTTGATAGTCAATTTCGATTATTTCTTTCAACCAAACCTGATATTCATTTTCCTCTTGAACTTTTACAACTTGGTCTTAAAGTTTGTTTTATTCATAATATTATTTCAAAAGATTTATTTTCTTATATTTAGATGACTATTGAATGGCCCGTAGGTTTAAAAAGTAGTCTTCTTCAAACATTTGGACCAACAGGTATTGTTAATGAAAAAGTTTATGATAATGAAACATTAGGTAAAAAATTTTATTTTGATATGTTGTTTTTTTTTTTTTTATTAAATATAATTTAAAATAAATGAATAGGTCCATATTGGCGTCGTTTAGTATTTAATTTAGCATTTTTTCATGCTGTTATTCATGAACGTAAAAAATTTGGAGCATTAGGATGGAATTTATCATATGAATTTAATCAATCTGATTTGGAAGTAGCTGTACTTGAATTAGAAAGTCTTGTTCGTCGTTCAAAAAATCAAATACCATCATTTGATGTTTTTTGTTATCTTGCCGGATCAGTTATATATGGTGGTCGTGTAACAGATGAATTTGATCGACGAAGATTATTACGTATTATTGAACGATTCTATTGTTCAGAAACATTAAAAGAAGATTATTCATATGCTGGAGATGATGTATAACATTTGTTTTCTCTATATTGTTTCTTTTTTTTTATTTTTTGTAATAAATTTTTATTTTTATTTAGACATACAAAGCACCAAATTTAGATTTAAATTTTTCTGGTCTTCTTTCATATATAAATGCATTACCAGATTTTGATGATCCACGTGTATTTGGTATGCATCCAAATACTAATCGAGCATTAATGTATGTTCAAGCAAATCAATTAGTTGATATGTTAGTTACTATTGAACCGCAATATCGAATGATGATTTCATTAGGGTATAAACAGAAAAAATCTTTTAAAAATTTATTTCTACTAAAATTTTTTTTTTTTTGTAGTGCTTCATCCGATAGTGATGCTGCTTGTATGACAATAATTGATGAAATTACAACAAAATTACCACGTTCAATTGAAACTGGTTATGGTCCACAAGCACGTCATATTACATTTGAAAATGCATTAACTAAAATAAGTGATAAATTAGGTAGAAAACGTTTTTTTTTACACATCCTTCTAGTTCTGAAAGATGATTTCGGATAATATTCGTTTGTTGAGTTTATCGAACAATCATAGAAACTAATAGAGAATATTTTAAACAAAAGAAAAAAAAAAACATCACGACTAAACTATGAATCATGATCGTAATTATTGAGAAAAATATTTAATTTGATTTTATTTTTGTTTTAGAAAGTAAATATCATGCTTATTCAGTATTTTTCTCATTACTTAAACAAGAAATTCGTGCATATAATGAATTACTTGAATTAATTCATGCAACATGTAATGATTTACGTCGTGCATTAGTTGGTGAAACAGTTGTTAGTGAAATTTTAGAAGAAACTCAACGTACATTATTAATGCATGAAATGCCACGTATTTGGAAAGTATGTTAAAAATTTATTATTTTGTTTTTTTTGTTCTAATAGTAGTTTATATCAATCTAACAAACAGGAACTAACACATTATAATGGTGTAAGATTTTTCTTTTTTTTCGTTTTCGTCTATTGTCTAAGAAAAAAACATATTACCTTTCTTGCACTTATCCCTTCTTTTATTTTTTACAACCCTGCATGTATGAATAATGGTAAAATGTAATATATTTTATTGCAATTGGTTTTCATTTAGAAAAAATCATATCCATCAACAAAATCACTTCGAGCATGGATAACTGATAATCTTGTACGAATAACATTTTTTAAAGAATGGACTCGATTAATAGTAACTTATGTCGAAGATAAAGCTTCATCACCATTACCACCTATATTCAATATTGGTGCATTCTATTATCCGAAAGGTTTTTCTTTTTATTATTTACTGAAATATAAAGATCATTTTTGTTTTTTTTTGAAATCATATTATTAGGACTTTTTTCGGCAATTCTTCAAAGTTCAGCTCGATCAATTGCATTACCTATTGATCAATTAAAATTTACTTATCAAGTATTAGATAATAATGAAGAACGTCAACTGCTTCAATCATCGATTGTAACTTTCGAATATTGTTTATTTTCAATAATTTATATTTTTTTGATTTTAGTCAACAAATGATATTGCTAATGGTATTACTATTGATGGAATCTATATAGATGGTGCACAATGGGATTATGAAAGTCATCAAATTGTTGATTGTACAAGTCAACAACGAACTCATCGTTTACCACCTCTACTTTGCAAATTAGTACCGGTATAATAAATAAATCTAAAAGAAATTTGTTGAATGATTTTGATGTTTTGTAGAAAAATATGGAAAATATGGATTTAACGAATGTTTATGAATGCCCGGTGTATCTAACAGCATTAAGAGCAGTAAGTGCGAGTGAAGCAGCAAAACATCTTGTTGGTACAATTACAATACCATGTTCAGAAACCGAATCATTTTGGACAACACGATCAATTGCTGGTATTCTTGAAGTTAATGAATAATGTTTAGTTTTCTTATATATATTTGAAATAAAAAGAAAAAAAAAAGAAATTTTTATTTTCTCATTTTAACTCACTAAATAAATACATCGATATTATTATGGTTTTTGTTTTTGAGATTAACTTCAAATATATTTTTTCATTGGACATTTTGTTGATGAAATACGTACATATCTCATTCTTTGTGCACCTCTTGTTATATGATATCTTATTGATGATTATGTCGTAAGACAAGTTTTTATTACTACTCAGGTCTGCGTCTTTATTATTATTTCGATAATGATTTTAGTTTTATGTTTCGTCTTGATTTATACATGTAATGATATCAATGAAATTTGTTGTTTTGATAAGTCTGAAATTAATTTTTACTTGTAATCGACCTCGAAGTTGTTAAGTAAACTGGATTATTCAATTATTACAGAGAAGATAGAATTCTAAAACTTGAAAAACTCAATATTTTAATAACTTATTTATTTGGTTGCAATGAATCAAAAGATGATTTACAACACAATCATTTTCATAAAGAATTTTATGAATAGCATCATCAACTAATTTGAATGATATCTACAGAAAATTACCTCTTCAGTATAGTTAAAAGAACTTTATTAAAATATTCATAAAAAAATCATGAAAATACTTTTCGATAAGAGTGATTAAGAGCGCTGACTTTTCGTTAAACTGGCACTTCATATTCATAATATTTTACCATAAGTTTGTGCCATTCTCTAATAGCAGTCATTTGTACTTTTATCATTTCATATTGGCTCATATTTTCAATTTTTTCATAAATGTTGTCTGGTTTGATATGTTCGTTCTTAGAGGCCATGTTCTTTCTCATCTTTTCGTATCTATTTTTGAGCTCTTCAAGCTCTTGCATCAAATTGAGGTTGAGTTGGTATGAACTTTTCTTAGCGCAGATGTCATCTTCTTCTTTAATCATTCTCGTCAAGCCCAACAAAAACGGGTCATTTTGTGAGGCATCAGCCAACGGTAACAGAAAATTAGCAAATTCCGCACTTTTCTGACAAAGATCATCAAACATCTTTCTCATATCGTTCAAAGAATTGCTTGGTAATCCATTACACTGTTTATATTCAAGTTCATAATCAATTGGATAGTGTTCTGATGGTCCACATTTGCAAGCTCGACATTTATTGTGAAAGTCATGTAGGCTATAAATGGTAATCCACAAGTCAGCAACTTCAAAAGATTCACGAGGACATTTTAAGCAAATGGCCATTGTACCATTGATAATTTTTGGATGTAATTCTATATAAACTTTAGACGATCTCGCATTCCATAACATAAGATTACGAAGAATATTTCGCATTGCTTCTAAGATAGGTCGAATCATCAAATTAATTTTGAGTTGTGCATGTTTCATCGAGTGCAATGCGTTAGGGATAATACCTATAGACATCTTAGTGAGAATATATTCGAGAATACGTTTTGATTCAGCAGATGATTTCGTCCAACTATCGTTGTATTCTTGTTCTTCAATTTTCT